TTTGCTCACGAAGTGTGAGCACAGGGAAAGTGCGGCGACCGACGAATTGCGTGTCGTATTGGTCACAGCGGTAGGGGTTCGCTGATATTGGTCACGAGTTTGCTGCTGCTGGTGCTGGAGCTCCCGCATCCTTTCCTACTGTTGTCCATGTTGCCATGGTTCCACGAACATACCCGAGACTCGTTCCATTTCCGCAGGAGGAACCGCTGCAAGACAGCCGTAGTTCCACAAACAAACCCTTCACTCCATTTCCGCAGGACGAACAGCTGGAAGACAACCCAGAGGGAGAGGAAGAGGAAGAAGACCGTGAAGACGCTACCATGGACATGGGCCAAGAAGGGGAGGAAGGGGTGCAGGAGGAGAAGGAGGGACAAAAGGGCCAGGGAAACGATGCGGGGGGAGAGGAGGAGGAGGAGGAGGAGGAGGAAGAAGAGTCGCCGATCCTTGCTCCAGAGGTACGAGCGTTGGCGTTGTTATGTGTGTTTGCGATACGAGTTTTTGTGGTAGGACCGTGGTCGTCAACCGCGCTATAACACATGTAGTCGGCTGGCCGATGTAACACGTGCACTCGGGGCTCACTTGTTTTCTCATCGTTCTGTACGTGGTGACTCAAGTTTAGTCCCTTCTTTTTGTTTCTTAAGTGCTGTTTTCTCGTCGAAAAGAGGGCAACACACGGCCACTGGTGGCGACTAGAGACATCGTGGCTGCTGCTGCTAATTCGTCTGACGTTACAATTCTGATTTTTTGTCTCGTTGTTTTGCTAACTTATCACGCTGCCGTCGTTCCCGGATGCTTTTTGGTTCATGTTACTTGTAGTCTATTTACGCGACGTACGCATGCATTGCAAAACGTCTCACTGTGGTACACACACAATGCCAACCAACGTCCACCAACCGTTGGTGCTGCTGTTGTCGTTTTGAGAGAAGGTGAGAACCCCGAACAAGCTCAGGGATAGCGCGGCCGAGCGGCTGCGGGCGAGCCAGCTGGAGGAGGAGGAAGAGGAAGACGACTTGCTCAACGAGGACAGGGCTCTCAACCCGTCGGTGGCGGAGCCCCGAGCTGCTGCCGCCGCCGCTGCTGCTGCTGCTGCTGCTGCTGCTGCGACCAAGGTGCGGTTTTGGCTGGCACATTCATTTTTTATTGTTTTCGTCCACGGGCTTGATTGGTTCAGGAAAACGCTCTCGCTCTCGCTCTTTCTACTCCTACGCCCTCACCTTGGCAAGAGTATCGAGTGTCGATTTTCATCTTGGCACGTTTCGCTTGGTTGTTCTTGGCATCGAGAGACCACAGCCGATGGTGGTGATCGCAGGCCATCGACGAAGCGTCTGCTGCTTGTGTCAGTCACGGCCGAGTGTTTTCTGCTTGTTTCGTTTTTTGCCGCGGTGGGTGTTTTTGGGGTGTTGTCACGAGCAGCACACGACATCATGATGATCCGTAGCTGTGCCAGTGTTGGCCTTTGGATAAGCATGACTTCTCGTAGGCCGCTTCCAAAGCGTTGGGTGCTGCACAAGGTGAGGCTAGAGAATAACGGTAGCTTTCCCACCTCACGAATTCCGAGCCGGAGAAAGTATCCCCCCCCCCGTCTCTCTAATCCCATGCTCGCTCTGGGCTCCCTTGATACTTTCCTCCGTCTCTCACTTTCGAGTTGCCACACTCGCGCTTTTCGCCTCTCGCTCCCATTCACCCCACGCCCGAGATATTTATCGTTTTTTTCCTTTCACCACCCTGTGTTCTTTTTTGCGCCCGTGTGTGTCGGGCTCTTGTCAGACAAGCTCCAACAAGCGCAAGAGGCGCGGGCCGGCCTAGACTATGGTCTTGGCTAGCCGACAAGCCGCTAGGACAACGTCCCCCTCCACTGTTATACTATTGCCGCGATATCCCCACTGTGTCACATCCATGTTGTAAGGGGGGTAGCAACCCATTGGTGGAGCGTATATGAGAAACTGGACGTCGGTGAACGCTCCATCCCGGCGTGAGAGCAGGATCTGGTTGCTCGGTAGCAGGAGGCGCGCCTGTTACCTGGGTCGCAAACCAAGAATGAATGAATGAATGTATTTCCCGTTTCGCCTCTTGTGCATCGATCGTATATCCAGTAGCTAGCCCGTCGTCAGCAGGGGTTTCGCCTCTCGCCTGCAACGGTTGCGATCGCCTGTAATTTGTACGTAGCACCATGGGGTAGAATTTGGTTTGGGGTGGAGGCCCTCCTCGCTCGGGAAACATTCGCCACACTCTTTCGGGAATAAGGAGACTCTGGGGGCTGTTACTTTCTGTACGGCGGTACGCGTGTCGGGGACAGAGGGAGAGAGCGAGGAGTCGCGGCTGCTGATGTGTTGAAGAAGAGTAGGGTGTTTACGTTGGTCTTGCGCCATCCACTATCATCCACTAATTATGTTGTTTTCAGTTGTTGGTGTTGCTGGGGATTCGATACGTGACGGCACCTTCTCAGCGTTTCAGTCGGAGGTGATGATGTCTCTTGTGTCTTGGTCGGTGCTCCTTGTTGTAGGAGAACCCTCGAGCCCTGTTTAGCCAGCACCCCACCGTGTCGTTATCGATCCGGGACCACAGCTGACTCATGTCATGTGGCATATTTCCAAGCGCAGCCTCCCGTGTTGACAGTTAGCACGGCCTCATCATCGTTGTTGCTGGCGTTGTAGACGTCGTTGTTGTTGTACTGTACCGGTCGGGGGAAAAGGCGGAGCCATGATGCGGATACGAGGGAGCAGATGATGGTGCTTGTATGCAAATGGCGCTATCGACGTCTGTGTGTTGTGTTGGGTCAAAGCCATCATCTCCAGCCTACCGCACCAAAAAAGAGGAGCAGAAAGCGGGGAAGCTTTTCCGGAAGCTCGGCTTCTGGACCCATCCCGTGTGTACTATTTTAGGTGGACGCTCTGTGTGCTGTTGAGTCCACGGTGATTGATGGGAATTTCAGGTCGTTCCTGTATGTTACCACGTTTGTATGCATGCTGCTGTCTTGGTTCGACTGAAGGGGTTTTGATAGGCTGAAAGCTGCGAAAACGGGCGTGGCAAGGTAGGCAGGGTTTCAGAAGCGTCACAGAATTCACGGCAGATGTATATCACGCTGGGTGTCGGTAGCGTCACAGAACTCAAAGCAGAGGTACAGACTTTCTGGACGGACCTACAGAACATACTCATATTGTACGGTAGTACGGAAGGGACCCGCCCGGAGATGGGAAGAAGCTCCGTTTTTTGGTTGAGGCTCCGTATGTCTTTTGTCACCACCACCGAAGCATTTTTTTTGTACTTTCAAGTAGAGTTTTGTTTATATCCTCGGCGGAGAAGACTGTGTTTCTTGTCCCACTTTTGTTTGCGTTGTTCTTTTTTCTGTGGACCCGCAATGCTGTCGTACCAAGAGTTGTATTTTTTGGGATTCTTAGCTTTTCAGCGAACCGAAGGCGGCAAACAAGTTGTTTGTAACACGAAAGCTCTTCGGAGCGGGCGAAAGCTCTGTTTTTAATGCATGCGGACTGATGGCGTGGCACTCCCACCACCGCCTGAGGAGGAGAAAGGGGTCATCACCTGGTCGTTTCCTTTCAGCTTGCTCTGGCGGACTTCCACTATCTTGTCACCGCCGTCGTCTGTTACGTGCGTGGGGCTATCCATGAAACCAAAGCAGCAAACTGTTTGGTTAGCCAGCCGCTGACTATTTCGGATAATCAAGGCATATATACATGACTTGATGCCTACTAGAAGTAGATCATAGGGAGTTAGTTGCAGCTCCCGCCGTAACCTGGAGATTTTTCATGGAAATACTGTTAAGATCCGTACTAATCCCGTAACACCCACCACCGAAACCCCACGAGCCGTTTTTATCATTGACGTTTATAAGTGATGACAGTGCACTGCAGCTGTCGTCGCAAGTTAGAGGAGATAGCAAGCAGTGCGCCTGTCTCGATATACACCCCGGTACATCGAGGTTCAATTTATTCATGTTCCCATGCGGGCGCACTGCTGTATGACATGTGCTTCGTCTCTTGTTATTACCTCCCAGATATTCCATATCCGCGAACTTCCTGATATGAATACCGCTTTCATACGCACGCGTACCATGCACGATAGAGCCAATCCCTCCTTCTCTTCAGACCTCCTTGACACTCGATACAGCATCTCGATATCTCAAACCTACTTTCTGGCATAAATACTGCTAGCTTACACTCTAGACTGCCAACACTCGGGAGGAAATAAACTAGGATACGCGTAAACCAAACGTCAGCACACACACCCACGACTTCCAACATGACACAAATGACGATGGAACCAACACGAAGAGGCCCACCCGCACGCACGCACGGAAAGGGAACTATAATACGGGATACGGGAAAGTACCTTATCATGGTTGAAGCATGGTGTAATATTGTTACCTTGTGCTGATAAACGTATCTTGTCAAACGTATGATACCACCTTCTACAGGCGTGAGGTGCGCGCTATCGTGGCTCACAAACCCGAAACCCGTGCGTCCGCAAGATGTTATCTACCTTGCTTGGAGTCCGGACCAATCTTTCCTGGACTATTCCCCTTATCGGTGAGAGCTTCCACCCCGGCCAATAGTGAATCAATGATACCGCACAACCACCAACACAAACCAGTAAGTACCACGAGTTGCGGTTCGCTTCCCCTCAAAATGCACAAATTAATGTTCAAAAACGGAAGACATCACCCTCCCCCTCCCGCTGTACACTGGCGGTTGATGTAGGCGACTTCGCGAACAACGGGGGAGATGGTGGCACCAACGAGCACGCAGAAACAACGTGCGAAACGACAAACCAAATAGTGATATTCCCATTCTAATCTACTGCTGTACGCACGGCATAATAAGCACACGTGGTCACCTTGTCTTGCGGGGAACGCGGAGGAGGCGTTATTTTTACCCCAAAAGAGAGAAAAAGAAAAGGGGGGCCGTTTTTCATTTTCACCAAGGGCACAAAAAAATCACGCGCCACTCTGTTCGGAGAGGAACTATTAAAACCATTCGGATACCAATGCGATTGTCCCAATGGCAAGTAGATTAGTATAATACTGCAACAAACCGAGAACACAAATCGAAATAATCTGCTACAGGCCCGCCGAGCCCAAGATAGACTTGGCGAGGTCCACTCCGAAGAAGCACGCGGCATTGGCGGGGAAAGCCCTTAGCATGGCGGGGGCGACTCCCCTGTATAGGGCCGCCGCCCCCTCCTCCCTCAGCAGGGTCCTGAATACCGGCGGCACGGACGGATGGTTTGGGTTGTTGAGAAAGAGGCACGGCAAAGTGGCTAAGGGAATAGGTAGGCGTCATTTTTGTTTTTCTCTGGGCAACAAACTACACGCACGCAAGAAGAAACCACGACGCACTGCCGCCGTGCTGCACACACTGCTGCTGCTACTGGCAAGGCACGCACTACACAGAGACAGGGAACATGGACAAGGGGGGCGGGACACACACACATACTGCTGTTAGCGACGGCGGAGGAAGCGGGGAACGTTTGGTTGGTCTGGGGTTCATCGCTGATGATGATGTTGTTGTTGTTGTTTCCGTTGTTTGTTGTTGTTCAACGCTGCCGGCCTTTTCGCCTTTTCTCTGGAGAGAGAGGGAGTCCCACCAACCAGCGTGTGTTGCACACACCACACAGCGAGAGCGGGACGGGAGCAGGGTGTGCCCTATACTACTGCTGCTGTTAGCTTTCGGCGGAGGAAGCGAGAGGAGAGATATTGATTGGGTCTCTGTGGGTCCATCGGTTGGTTGTTGTTTTGTGTTGCGACGCGGCGGGAGGGAGCGGCCCCTGCTCTGGAGAGAGGCACACATACATCACAGCACGGAACCAGTAACACATCACGCTCGTTCCTAGACGATGTAGTCCCACTGCTGTGCTGTGCACCTCTCTACACTCATTGTGGGCGAGAGGGTGTGTCGCCTCTGCTGCTGCTGCTGTTGCTGTTATCTAAAGCGGTGGCGGAAGCGTCCTGTTCAAACAATCAGCAGCAGCAGCAGCACCAGCCGGGGAGTTTTTCAACGTTTTTTTTTTTCCTCTCTAGCTGGTGACGATGGATAGCACCCCCCCCCTCACGGCTGACGATGGATACCACCCCCCTCTCTAGCTGGTGATGATGGACCGCCCCCCGTTCTTCTGTACGACGAGAAAATCACACGAGCCAGCCAATGAACAGACGCACGAGCCTACTGCAGGTACTTTTGTGCAACCACCACAAAAAACTTTTCCACCTCCAACTCTAGTATTTTGTATGCGTTGGCCGCGGCTGAAAGTGTCGAGTTTTTTCACGTCGGCCAATCAACAGACAAGATAACTCCATGGACAAAGGTAAAAAACGGCACCCAAGCTGCAGCGATGTTCTCGAAACAAAGTAACCAATGGGATTGCTGCAACTTGAGTGACTCTTCTGCACTGTTCTTTCTGAGTCCGAAGAGAGAGGTCGCAGAACGTGTCTGCAAGGAAAGAATCAGCCATTAGGAAGAAGGCAAGCGCCGCCGTCCAAACGAGCCAACCAATCAGAAGGTCGCCCATGAAAACCAACGCCTTGGTATGCATCCACTGTTCACCTTAGGACATCCCCGAGGCCCGAATAGGTCCCCTCTGCGGCTGTTTGCCAGCGAGACTTGATCACATCAGGCGGGATAGCGACTGCCCATGTCGCCATGCCTGCAGAGAATGAGAAAGGAGCAAGGCGAGGGAAGATCGGCGGGGAGAAAAAACTACAGGCGATGCCAACGGATAGTAAGCTAACCGATTTACACCCGTCCAACGCGTGAATTGGAGGCGTCAAACAGAGTGAAACTTCCTTCACCACCGCCGGCACTTTTCGCGACCAAACAAAAAAAAAAAAACGCGAGAGAGAGGCACTACCAAAACCATAAGCGAGTGACACATGACCCGAAAACGAGAGCGAAAACAAAAAAAAACAGAAACTATGGCATCAATGTAGCCAGTCTCCAGAACGCAAACGCGCGCTTGTGAGCACTCCCATTGAGCCACAACGCGAACTGCCGGGAATGACGTGAACCCAAAGACACCCCCCCCCCCTTCCCCTAAAACTGTACCTGCGAACCCCCCGGCGGACAAAATCCCCGCACTGGATACCGTGCCGTCCTCTGCAGCGAAGGCCTCTTTAAGAAACTCGTACACTCCAAAGTACGCCACCGACCTTTGACAACAAAAAAATGAAATATGGGGATTGGAATATGTTACAGCAGTAGAAACAACGAGCACGAGTCCCTACAGAACCGAACTCGCTTCGCAAAGCAATTTTATTTTCACATACTTTGAAGGTGCTATTACATAACAAAAAATAAAAGTTAGGCCACCGAGAAGGGTTGAACGCGCCAATAACTGAATAAGTTTGCTTCGGCTTTGTTTACCCAGGCACGTCGCGCATGAGCGTAACCTCCCAGCCCTTGAAGACACTCCCGACACCCCCCGTTGCGTGCAGCTTCCTGGCGCAATCGACCATGCCCGAGTACTTCGGCTTGGCGCCTCTGGCAACCTGGTGTTTTGTTGTTTGGCGATCGCAAGGCGGGACGAGCAATGGCACGGCGGGGATGCGGCGGCAGACAAACACGACGCGGCGTTTCGTGTCCAACCAGGCGGTTTCAAGGTTAAAATGGCGACAATGGCGACAACGACAATGGCGACAACGACAATGGCGACAGCGATCTACGTCCATCACGATGACGACAACGAAGACTACAACCGCACCAACAATAAACCAGCAACAACCAATACCACAACAAACAACACCCACCAATAGCAGCAACGATACAAAAAAAAAAAAAAACACTACCAACAACAACAACAACAACAACAACAACAGACACCCGACGCAATGGAGTACCCACGGTGAACCCACTGCATGCGTCCAACAACATGCGGACTCCACGACCCACCTCCTCCCCCTGAATCTGCAGGAGACACTTGATCCGTTCGACGGGCGCCGTGAGCGCTGTCGCCGGCAGGGCGCTGAACGCCCCAGCCAACATCTTTTCTCCCAAGCTCATCTTGGCGTCGGCATCTTTCCCTGTCGCAGCTCTATTCGCCGGTAAAAACAAAAAGAGAAATATCAAGAGCTAGCTGACACGGAATGAAAGAGACATTTCTCAAAGTTCTTCTTTCGCTCAACGCACCGAGACGGAAAACGTTCAGAGGTGTTGTTCGAGGTTAATTTTCGCTCGAAACCCTGCGAACGGAAAGAAGGAACAACGCGGGTTACGTTTCAGCCTTTTTCGCTTTTAAGGTATGCAAACACACGCTCGGGAAGTCATTGTCGGGATTCCGCGCGTATTCCGCGCGTATTCCGCGCGTATTCCGCGAGCACTGCCGTAGCACGGTTCGGTCGAGTCGACGCCCTCGTCGTCGTCACCATCTCTCGTACGAAGAGGTCGCCCACCAAGCACGCAAGGTAGCGAGCGGTGCGCCGAGGACGGAAGAAGCGGCCAACACTGGAAC